GCCTTCAAAGAATCTTCTAACTTGGATCAGCATCCAATGCAATTCAAACCATACCTCTCTGCCTTGACTGAGGCAGATGGTGTTTCAGCCCTGTTCATCCTGGAGGGCAACTCAACTCCAGGCAGTTCAACAGTCCCCAACGTTATTCCACGTCCCCTTAGGGAAATTCAAACAGTAAGAAAAATTCTACTGAGTCTAAGATAAATTTGCCTCCCTCTCCAACCCACCCTCAGATTCCTTGTAAAACTAGGATGTGACTTGCAGTTGGGCAAAGTATATCTTCCAAAGCATTGGCACCTATTTCTTAGAAACCTTGTGTAACACTAAGCCTTGCGAGCCCTTATCTTGCTCACGGCACCTGTACTACATCAGTAGAGTTAGTGTGTGAAGAACAGTGCTAAGTCTAGTCTTTGATTATCATAAAAGGCATGGCAAAATAAATGAAAGTTGATAAGTCAATTGGCTGATGATGGAAGCAAAGAGAAAGAAAATCTAGATTTAGACCAAAACCACCTATATCAACTATTTACCTGGCACTTTTAAGTACAGAGAAAGGTCCAGAACGATTTGCATTGCAGAGTTATGAAATGAATTTACATTTTGCCTTGGCTACTCATAATTGTTTTTTTAAACTGACAAAGAACAGGCAAGATATAAGACAATTATAGGAAGGAGAGCAAATATGGAATCAATCTTGCTGCAAGAGCCCAGAAATTACTGTCTAATAATGAAACAATTTGAAGAGAGAAAAATCTGAAAACATTTAGAGGGACAGTGCAATCATAAGTAATAAGGAGAAAGATCTGTGAATATCAAACCCTGCCAAGTCCAAAGTCCTTCCCCCAACTAGGATTTCAAAATTATTAGATGAAATAAATATTACAGAAAGCCACCTCACATTTGGCAAGGCAACTGATAATAAGTATAGGAAAGAATTATAGCAATCTTTAAATCTAGAAGAGAACTTTGAAAGTATGTAGTCGAACCATCCAGTGTAATAGAGGAAGAGATCCAGAGAGGCTAAGAGGTTCGCCCTAGTCCAACTCGCCTTCCAGCCACCCCTGCCTAGAGCCCTCCCTGCTACACTGCACTCTGTTTGCACACGGATAGCAGTCAATCTTGTTTCATCAATACTTCTGCTTCCCTCCTCCCTTCCTTATTATTTTGAAGCCAACCTAGATTACATAATATGATTCCATCTATAAATGTTGAAATGTGTACTTCTAAAAGATAAGTGCTTAAAAAAAAAAACATGATCCCGACGCAACTATGACACCTAAGAATATTAATAATAATTGCATAATATCATGCAGTGTCCAGACAGTATACAAATCTCCATAAATTCATGAAATATCTCTTTTGACAGTTAGTTTAAATTGGCATCCAAATATGGTCATTTTCTCTCTTAGGTCTCTTTTCATTTACACCTCCACCCCCTCCCTTATCTGTCTCTCCGTGCATCTTATTGTGGAAGGCACCAGGTTGTTTGCCTGGAAATTCCCACCATCTGTGTTTTGCTAAATGAAGTCTATCTTGTCCTCTGAGTTTCGCAGTGGTTATGTCTGAACCTGAGCTGTCCAGCGTGGTAGCTACTAGCCACATGTAAATTAAACTTAATATTAAATTAAAATTAAGTTAAAAATTCAGTCTCTTGGTCACACTGGCCACATTTCAAGTGCTCAGCCGCTACACGTGACTAGTGGCCACCATACAAGACAGCACAGATCTAGAACATTTCCAACAGTGCAGAAAATTCTATTGGATGACACTACTCTAGAGGCTTAATAAAGTCCCATGGGATGCCCTGGCTAGTGGATTAAGCACCGGCCTATGAACTGAAAGGTCGCTGGTTCAGTTCCCAGTCAGGGCACATTCCTGGGTTATGGGCCAGGTCCCTGGCTGGGGATGTGAGAGAGGAAACCCATTGATGTTTCTTTCCCTCTCTTTCTCCCTCCCTTCCCCTTTCTCTAAAAATAAATTTAAAAATCTTAAAAAAAAAAAAATCCCATGGGGCAGCTTTGGAGGGAAGAGATACTGAAATCTCACACATTCAGTGTTTGGCCAACACTTGGTCTCCTGCAGTATAATCACTTTAACCTCTACACCTTGACATTAGAAATGAAATAAATATTCAAGAGATCTCCGTGTTTTTTAAACTTGTATAAATGGCATAGGTATAAATACTTTGGGGGTGTCTTTTACTTCAGCCTTTTTGTTTAGATTTAACCATGTCAATACATTTACTTGTAGCTTATTCCTTTTAAAGTAAGTGTAATATTCCATTGTTTGAATGGATCACAGTAGGTCGCTTATCCTTTTACTTAACACTTAGGTTCTTCTCAGCCTTCAGAGCTTGAAGGACCATACTGATACATCCCTGGCCTCCTGTTACAAACAAGTAAAGGAGGCAGCCTGGGCGGGACTCACCAGGCCATCGAGCCTGCCCGTCTTCAGTTCCAATAGCTATTGCCCAGTCACCGAAAAATAGTTACACTTGCTGATACTCCCACCAACAGTGTACAAGTGTTCCCTCTTCCTTACAGTATTAGCAACATTAGGTGGTTTCAGATTTTTACTTTTTACCAGTGTGGATTCCAGTAGTAAAAGTATGAATACAAGCATAGAAAAGGAAGAGAAGAGAATGGAATTGAAAGAGGAGCCCTGACTTAGCTGAATCTATAAGCATGTACAAAGCATGTGTAAAATGTGAATGGTAGGTGTGAAGGAGTTAGTCATGAAATTGTTAGTACTATTTGGTAGGTTTACACTACTCAGAATTAAGTTTTATTCACAATCATTTATCATCACCCCCAAATGACCTCTAGCGTGTGGATTTTTTCAGTCAAGCTTTACATGGTCAAATATTGCAACTAATTGCCCAAAATGATTTGGTTTGTGCATGCAAGCTATATCATGTATCACATAGCATTTCTTCCCTATGGGTGATATAAACTAAAAAGAGGGTAAACTGAAAATGGAATCTATATTGGGAATAATGCCAGAAGTTTTGTGGTGTATTTCTGACGAGTTCCCATTTACTCATGAACTATATGGACAAGGTAGATTTCTTGGCTCTGACTTGGGGCCTGCTAACTCTTACTGTCACTACATCTGCAATGGCTGCTTTAAAACTTCAAACTAGAACTCTTTTAGAGAAGGTTATGAGTAAAGGGCAGCAATGATGAGTATATCTGTCAGTCCAGATACAATTTTTAAATCCTTTCCATGCATGAGGCACTATGGTATGCCCCATAAGGGAAGTAAAAACCAGCAAAAGTTGATCCCTGCATCTGAGAACTTAAAATCAAGCAACGTTTTCCTTTTGCAATCCTAACTACAAAAAAAAAGAAAAATGAATTTTTTGTAGTCAGAAACTCATTCTGACTTTGTTCTATTTTGATCTTTTAACTTATTTTGAAGATTGTTCAGTAGTCATTCATTGCTCAGTAAGTCCTGCAATGACCTTTGGCCAAGAGCAGTAACATTTTGACCTGTCCGATGGAACACAGAACTTCCCGCTCCACAAAGCTAGTGATGTAAATAACTTCAAATGAAACCCTCCTGGAGATCTGTGCTGGGCACAGTGAGAGAGATAAATGGGGTAAAGCAGGGGAAAGAATGAAGTGAGAGTGCCCAGGAATAAGTGAGAGTGGCATCCATGTTTTCAGCATTTTTTTCCTCATTCCCCTTAGCATATTTTTTCCACTTCTTCACTAGTAGTTGAAAAAATTGGAGATAACACAACAAACTGTGATGCTAAAATGAAACACATTTCATTTTAGGCCTGCGACATTTAGTAAGGTCAACATCTTCTACCCTACATCTGGGCTTCGTCGGGGTTGAACATATAGGGCACATTACAGCAGCAAAGAACGAAGCAAAGACACACCTAAGTTTATAAATGGCCAGAGGGGTCAGCCAGTGTGAATATGGGGCAGCAGAGTATGTGTGAGTGCCTGTGTGTGTGTACACATGAATGTACACATGTCTCGTGAATAACCCAAGAAAGAGAATGACCTAAAGGAGAAAAGCTCTGCTTCATCTTGAAGCCATTCACACTTTATTGTGTCTGAACTTCAAAATGAGGCAGTACTGAAGGCTATTTAGGGGCAGCAGCACAGGACTTCCTGAGACTAGAAATTTGGCTCATAAACCAGAGGAGCATCTGGCCACCAGGACGTACAAAGAGTTCTTTGCAGACAAAAGCCTGGTAGCGTGAGTGTAAATGATTCAGAAACCCCTGGCTGGTGCTTCTCTTGAGGTTAAACTAGTTAAGAGGAACCTGCTCAAGTGGACATCATCAGGCAACTCAGCGCGTCCAGATATTTGGAATGGGGAAAGAGGGAGGAAAGAGTTAGAGAGGTGGTGTCATCCCAAATAGTGTGCCCCAGAAAATATCCCTCCCTTCTGTCAGTGGAGGAAAGTTAGGAATAAAATAGATTCCATTACATATGCCAGTTTAAGTCAAGACATCTGTTTCTGGTGGTTGACAGCACATATGAATGATCTGGACCTTCAAGGACATGTCAAGGTGGCTTAATATGGCAGGCTGCTTATCATTCTGTTCATTAAACATGTTCTACAAAAAGAGAAAGGGTAACCTAATGCTAAATTGAATCAGATCAAATGTTAAAGGGTCATAAAAAGTTAAATCTGTAATAGGAAAATTTATATTGTGACCTGAAATTGACTCCCCAGTAAAGTGCCCTAGTGGCATGAGTCTCAGTTTCCAAATTTTAAAAATGGGTACAAGACTATTTTGTGGGTTGTTGTGACTATTGAAATAATAGAAATAGAAATGCTTTGTAGACATACGATATTTAATCAATATTTATTTTTATTCTTTTTAATTTTAATAAGTTAAAGGTAAGAATAAATTTTGGGTACTAAGTCACATCCATGACATTAACACTCCCTAATCTTCACAGCCAAACATAATTCCAGTTGTCCCTGACAGCTGGCATCCTGTGCTCAGTTTCTTCTCTCTTCCCCTCCTGCAGCCAGCTCCTCCCTGAAGAAACGATTCAAGAGGCGGGAGATCGAAGCCATCCAGTGCGAGGTGCGGAAGATGTGCAGCTACACCAAGATTCTGTCCACCAAGAAGAACCTGGACCACGTGAACAAGATACTGAAGGCCAAGCGGCTGCAGAGACAATCAAAGACAGGCAACAACTTCGTCAAGAAGAGGAGAGGACGTCCCCGAAAGCAGCCCACCCAGTTCGATGAGGACTCCAGAGACCAAATGCCGGTGCTGGAAAAATGCATCGACCTGCCCAGCAAAAAGGGTCAGAAGCCCAGCCTGAGCCCGCTTGTGCTGGAGCCCGCCGCCACAAGCCAAGACACGATCATGGCCACCATCGAAGCGGTCATCCACATGGCCCGGGAGGCGCCGCCCCTGCCCCCGCCGCCTCCGCCGCCCCTCCCTCCCCCGCCACCCCCGCCCCCACCGCCACCCCCACCTCTGCCCAAGACCCCCAGAGGAGGCGGGAAGAGGAAACACAAACCGCAGCCTCCCGCTCAGCCCCAGCTGCCGCCACCCCCGCAGCAGCCCCTTCCCCAGGAAGAGGAGGTCAAGGCCAAAAGGCAGAGGAAATCCCGAGGGAGTGAGAGCGATGTCCTTCCCTAGGGTGGGTCTGGGCATCTGAACCTGGGGCTGGGGGAACTGAGGCATTGGAAGTGCAGTGAGCAGGGATGGGGGGAATCCCCCGCTACAGGGACACCCTTGCCCTTCTCTCCAGAAGCTGGGCAGGCAGAATCGGGCCACAGGATGGGGTTGAGCCATCGGTTCTTGGGAAAACAAAGCGAGGGGGGCGCTTTCACAAGAAGTTTGTGCTTTGCAGCAGTTCCCAACCGAGCGGCACTTCAGTATGGCTAGATCCTTGACAGGCGAGCCAGCAGAAGACCCATCAAGGAGGAGAAAGCTGGTGGTGCTCTCCGACAGCCACCCGACCTCCTGCATCCAAGGTGCGCCCTTGATGCCATTGCATTTGCTGGCCAGGAAAATTGAAAGGGAAACACCCTCGATTAGGAAACATTCCAAGGGCAGAAAAGCTGCAGATTTCTCAACTGGCTTTGTTGTTACCCACTTCCATTTAATTGGTTTTTATTTCTTTTGGTTTTTCAAGCTCGGCTAGGCTTTGGGCACCAACATTGTCTTCAGATGACCTGAATCTTTACATTGACAATACAGTTGCTCTATTGGACTCGTCATCAGAAGGTGGAATTCTAGTGATAGGCAACCTTAGACTTGCTTTCATATTCTTCTCTATGCCTCCTCTATCACACATACACTGATACTTAGCATCGTCTGTTCCTCCTTTCCCTTTGCCCATTATGTACTTCCATATACCTTTTCATTAGCTTACTTGCTGCCTTCTTTTCCTTGGTACACACCTAAATAATGTAAACCTTACCTATGTTGTAATGTTCACCCTTGGCACGCTGTCCCAAGGAACTTGGCTTTGAATCCCACTCATTGTGAAACAGTATTGATAGAGCCTTTTTAATAAGTGATTTAGAGCAGCCGAAGATATGTTGACCCAGGTGTCAACCAGGTTATTTTTATACTTAAAACATATCATCAGAGAATAGGCAGAATAAGATGGTTTTAGTACCCCACAGCAAATGGAATAACTGGCAAATCACCAAAAACTGAAACTCCAGACCCACCAGAAAGACAAATGTTTAGCAAAGCCTTGGTTATGTGATTTTTTTTTTCATACAAATAACTATCCTAGGTCATGGAAAAAAGGAAACAAAAAAAAAATAGTAGAAGTCCATTATCTCTTGATAATTATTTCTTAAAAGCAAATGGGAGTAAGTGTTCTTATCTGAAAAAACAATGAAAATGCCCAAGGGTATCACCACTCCAATTGTATCAAGCCACCTTGGACAAACTATCCAAATTGTGGTTGCCTTAATAAACTAAAACATTTTTTGTACATAATGTAATTATAAATCTATCAGTCTGCATGAATGCAAACTGTGTGTGACAAATCGTCTTTTAAATGGTCAATTTCAACTGTACATTTCTCATCCAAGTTGTACTCTAGTCATTGGTTTAGTGTGGACAGATATTCCATCTCTATTATCCATTTCCACAGCCCAAGTAAGACATGTTAAGAAGACTCAGAATGAGTATGAAGTCATTCCCTTACCGTAGATGTTTTCTAAAAGTCAGATGTGGAAATTTCAAATGAATATTTTCAATTTCCTCCCTCCCTCCTCCCCTTCCCTTCCCCCAAGACATCAAACACCTGGCATGGTAGATTATAAAAAGAGAGACACTGAGAGACAGAACTAAATTTTCTATTGGGGATTAGAATATCTGGTTTGCCTCTAAATTAAGTTTCTTTGCAGGAAGTTGGGACTGGCTGGAAATTGTATTATCACTTCAGAACATAACATTATTTCCTTAGAGAGAGAGAGATGGATTTTTGTTGGGAACGTAAAAGAATAAAAGAGGGGGTGTCTATGGGAGTGAATTTTAAAATTCCAAGTTAATACGCTGACAAACATCACTTTTCTGTCATGGTACCAACAGTTGGCTGAAATTACCCACAGAGTCATCTGTTCTGCACGGTCACCATGGACTTCACACCATTTGCTGCCCACTAGGTCAGTCACACTTAATCCTAGCAATATGTACGTTTAAAGGAATGCGTTCTCCTGTACCTTAATGCTTGTATTGTAGATACTCAATTTGTGACCCTGGTTGACCTTTGGCATTTTACACAGGTTGAACAGCAAAATAAAACCAGCCACTTTCAATTTGTTATTCCCTAGCTATGTCTGAGTGGTTCCAAAGTCACCGGAGAGGAAGTTTCGAATTAGCCCCACTCACCCCACCATTGCTATGAAAGAGCAACCGTTTTTATTCCAATTAAGCCATAAACAGGTTTCTGTCCTGTTGGATTTTGAAAATCATTTCCTTCATTCTTTCTTCTGTCCTCCTGCTGGCTTTATAATGTTTCCCAACCAAGTCTGCAAGCAGGCTAAGTCTTTCTGCAGGGGAGAATAAGCTGACACTCTAAGCTTCTTAAAGAAGGGCCAAAGCTTAATTGGCATTAACCTCTAGTAGGTGAGAAATTTCAAATACCTTTGGAATTTTCAAACCAATGAAAAGTATTCCAGGAGAGATACAGCCGAGTTGCAACTTATACATAAATTCAGTTCTTCAGTTGTCGTGTGAGTTCCGTGCAAATCCTCTACATTTTTGACCCTTAGACTAGATTGGAAAACTGCAGAGGACCCAAACTAAGTCATGCTATACAGCTGTTTGGAGGTCTAGTCACCTGCACAGCTGACTCTCTCCACCACCCAGATTCCCCCTCAGTATTACACATTACTTTTTTTTCTTTGCTTTCCATCAATATCTCATCCGTACACCATTCCCTTATGTTCTAACTACCCCCTTCCCATTTGCCTCGCCTTTTCTCTCCTGGCTCAACACTGGGACAGTCTAGATTCATGTCTTTTTGGTTGGTTGGAAAACCCAGGTCTCCTAATCTGGATTGTTGAGATCTATAGCCACCCAACACCACCTTCCGTGGCTGTATTTAGAGAAGATGTTGCTTGGGATGCCCAGGACTCCATCAACAGCTTCATGAAATATTTAATAATAAGAGAAATCCCTTAGTTTTCTTTTCTCTCTTTCTTTTCTGGAAAACTTGCCTTCAGCAAGCAGGAGTAAACCTACTTGTAATATAAAGAGTCTGATTAGGGGTAAGCAAAGAGTGAAATCAAGAGATAAAAACCTCCTTGAAGGTGATGATGGGTCTCTGATCCACCTTCCTAGGTGGCTGGGGAGCCACTTGGTTTTCAACCCCTTATCTCAAATGAAAGTAACAGAAATTTAACTTCCTCTAATGGCGTGGCTCTGGCTGCAACCCACGAAAGACAGGTCAAAGGAAAAGAGAGCATGTCAGGGGCTGGTTTGCAACTTGGCAGGACCAGGACTCAACAGCCACTGACAGCCCAGAGTAGGTGACTCAAGGCTGACAAAGGATTAGCATGTTAACTTGGCTGCTGTCTGGAGTGGGAGGCCATCTTTGATGGCGATCAGAATTTGTGTTCTACACGTTGCTGGGTATATAAATATGATAAGCAAGAGGTGACAGAATTATAGTATAAGGTGATGTACTACATGCAGATCATAAAAGATTTGGTTTTAGGACTTAAGGAGAAAATTCCACTCTTACAGCTTATTACCCAACAATATTCAGATAATGAGCTTTTGGAGAATATTTTTTTCCCTACCACTAGGAAGATTTACCTGGGAACTGTCTAAAGTCTATACATAGATTTCCAAAGCCTTTAAATGCCAACTGTAGCATGGAGAGAGAGGGGGTGGCAGAAGCCGAAATGCCTCAAAAGCCATTTAAGTGTTACATTGCAGGATTTTCAGTCCTCATTATGTAAAAGTAGATAAATATAGACATTATTCTCAACACTACCCTGTAGTATCACAATGGTCCAAATGCCAGAGCTTACAGATAATGTCATCACAGTGCCTAGAAACTCGAACTGTAATATATCGTAGCATTTTCTTGGTGTTTTTTAAAGTTTCTTTCCACAATGCAAGGCTCCCCCTGCCTCTTGTTTCTTGGAGAGTTTGCCCCACTGATGAGCCTGCCTTCCTTGTTGGGCTCAGTCACTTGGGGAACAGTCTTAGAAGCACATATCAACCAAGGAAGAAACTTCCTGGATCTCTATTGGCCACTTGCCCAGGTATAATAAACACTAAAAGGGGGAAATTGAAAAGAGCTGCCACTGGTCAACACAAAAGGGCAGTTCCAACCTAGGTTGGCGTCTTTCTTTTTCTTCCTTTTTTAAAAAAAAATCTATTTCTTAAATAATAATAAATGCACATGATGTGTTAAATATGTATATATATATTTCAAAAGAAAAAATGGGGCACAAGATTGTCTTACAAGTCGTGCTGGCTAATTTTTAGTTTGTATTCATAAGTGGTTTTTAAAAGCCTTTTTTAAAGTGTAATTTGCATGTTCTACTTTGATTGTATGTAAACATATTTTAGAACAAAAAAATGTATTTGTATTTTATTGAATATAGAGGCAAGAAAAATTGTACATTGTTTGAAATGTTCTTTTTGTAACAGTTTTTATTCATAAAGCATTTTTGTACATTTAAAATGAACATGGACTTGCTGTTATTTGAGGCGTAGCTACATCTGGCATGCTTTACTGTCATGCTCCTCCATGGTCTTAGATGTTGGGTTTTAAACATTTTTTTCTAAAAGAAAGCTCAGTCATTTTCGCTACCAGATCAGGTTAGCACAGTATAGAGCACTTAACTATTAAAAAAAAAAAGTTAATCCTATTCATATGTTATTCATTGTGTGAAATTAAAGACATTCAATTCAGTCTAACATGAGTTGTGAATTCTTTTGTTTTCTTTTCCATCTGGTTCACATCACTAAGGAGTTTAACAGCATTTGAGGGTCTTTACTCACACCAATGGAATATGGAATCATTGAGAAAATTTGAACCGGACTTTTGCCTTTTTGTATGAATCTGGGATGTGCATTGTGGTCAATATCTGACTCTGATTTCCTGGGTTACTGTTCAGGATGTATCACACCTTGACATAAAGCCAAGGCTGATTCAAAGAACCAGTGAGGCTTCTGCTGAAAACATTCAAAGGATAAGTTGTAAGATATCGGAGACTCAACCTGACCTAAATTTTTAGAAGAACATTGTGGATGAAGATTGTTTCCTTACTATTATCTCATGATGTCCACTTTGGACTTCAAGTTTGACTGGAGTGATAGGAAAGGCTATTTTATCAGCCACAGAAAGTTCCTGATGGCCTACATCCATAGCTAAGCAGTCTGGGCAAACCCGTAAGGGCAATGCCAGAAATATGCAAGAATTTACAAGGCAGGCGTGTGAAAAGTGAACCAGCATTTCTAAGCAGAATGCGCATGTGGTAAGAATGCAGGGTCTCAGAAGAAGGGTTGAGCCCCTAGGCTGAGCTCTATTCCTTCTGTTCTAATTTTTAGTTTATATTCACAAGTAGATTTAAAAAGCCCTTTTTACAGCATCACTTGCATGTTCCACTTTAAGAATATGTAAACATACATATATTTATGTATTTTTAGTTTTCTTCGTCTTCTGTGCATCTCCCAAAAGCCAGCAAGGTAAGTAGGAAATGTTCTGAGCAGCTTCCCCTCCCTAATCATCAATCTGACTCCCTATGACCCTTGTTATGACTTTCAGTATTGGAAGCACAGTGGAATAATGGCAGTCTGATAGAATGAATGAAAGTCTTCACGATTGGATTATTAGTAGATTACTAGGGCTGACTCAGGATGGCTGGAGCACCTTGTGCTTTATGTAGTCTTCTGAGATTGAGCAAATTTAGTAAGCAACCTCTAACAAAGTAGAATTTGCCCTCTCTTCCCTCTCATCTGCCAACTATCTAGCATTGAACCAGGAAGATTGAAAGCATTACGACATCATCTTTCTAACCTGGGTTCATTAGACGTTGGTATTTCTGATATCAGCCATGATGTCTGAGCACGCCCGTGACCTCTTCCCACCAGCCTCTCAGGCAGGAACAAAGATGTCGCCTTGAAATGGATGGGCTCAACCTTTAGGGTTTTTAATTCAGTCCATAGTCTCATTGTGTTGACAAAGACTCTCAGGAAAGTCTGAGAGGTCCACACATGTGGCTGGCATGAATCTCAGCCTACAAATCAATAGGTGAAAGGAACATATATTTTAAAATTTCTCTGCAGCTCACTTTTTTCATTTCACCAGCATTATCAGACTCTTCATTTCAGACCTAGAAAATCTTTTTCTAACCTGGAGGGGAAGGAAGGATGGGCCACATAGACAGACTTGCTCCAACTTTCTTCCAAATTGCATCCCTGTGCCTAAGTCCTCTCTAGTTCCTTAGTTTCTACACATTTAAAACTGAACAGCCAAGGGGGAAAAAGTCTTTTTTCATTTTTATTTTTTTTATTTTCCATGTGCTTTGTGCTGTCAGAAACATGCCCAGAGGGGATGAGCTCAAACCAGCCTGGCTGCCTGTGTGGTGGGGAGGAGACTAATAGAAGAGTGGACATATCGGAATCGGTTACCTCTTAAAAATTTTAACCTGTCACCCATGTGATAGGCAGTGAGGACAATGTGATGTGAAAAGCTAAAGGATGTGCCTTAGGACCTAAAAGCCTCTTTTTAGGTCAGATGAGATTATGAATGGGTGTGAAAGCAATTGGGAAGGTGGCAAACTGCATGTATTGTTTGTGATTAGAGGTGCTTTTCACTTTTGGGGGGATATGCCAATTTCCAGATTTTTAATTGTTACAAAGCTGTAGCAGTAAACTCTTCTACAGTATCACAGAAGACCTTTGTTTCCAGGTTTAATTAAAGGAAAAACTGGTTCCAAAGTGCTATTCTTATTCACATATGCTAAAATTGGGAGATAACAAATGAGAAATATTAAAACTTCAGAAGAGTTAAAAACCACACATATTCCCTCATGGTTAAGCTTGATAGTGTAAAACTTAATTCTCCTCTTTTTAGTGGACAGAGCACTGGAGTACGAGTCAAGAGACCTGGGGTGTATTCCTGATTGGTCACTAAAGAATTCTATTCCCAGGAGCAAAACTTTTTGGAGTCCCACTTGACTACTCCATACTGGGAGGTTAGACTCGCAATGATATCTGCAGTGTCTTCCCTCCAAGCCTGAGTCTTCAATCTGTCATTTTCGTACCTTCCAAATAGGGCCCGCCTTTAGTTTCTAACTTTATCCCCCATCATTGTGAGCCAGTGACATTTTGGGGTTGTTGCCTTTGCATAGTCAATCCTATCCTAATAGGTTTGATGGTAGATGTGAATATATGGAAGAAGTTTAAAAATATAGAATTATGAGGACATAAGATTAAGTCTTTCCTTCCTTCCTCCCCACCTCCTTTCCTTCCTTCTCTATTTGCACATCACCAAGTACCAAAAGTGTAAGGATGAGCAAGAAAAAACAAGGCCTCATTGAACTTTATTGAAACAAATCTAGATGGTGAACTTCTGCATTCCATTCTCTGCCTATGCAAATTCTACCCACTTTTGGGGGTCAATTCAAACCCCACTTCCTCCAGGAAGTCTTCATGACCACAACCCACAAACATCTCTCAAACCACTGATTTGGTAACCGTCCTTAATAATCCCACATGTGATAGAGAATAATCCAGGGCTGCCATGTCAAGTTATTCAGGTCATTTCCTGCACAAAGGGATTTTTTTTTTTTTTTTTTTTTTTGCTCAAACTTTACACCCTTGGTCTGGCATCTGCCCCAATAGGCATCTTTTTCTCATTGTCACAGAAGTGATTTTCTGAGAAAAAAGTTAAAAAAAATTTCAAGCACGATAACGTATCTCTAAAAAGTAGAGGTGATCTCTACTTCTCACTCAGACCACCATGCTGCCCTTGCCCCTGACACCTGGGGACCAGCCTCTTAAGACTTTCCCCATTTTCATCCAAGATACTGTACACTTCAGAAGGCCCCTGAATCCATTCCCAAACTAAGTGATTAGAAGAAAACAGTGAAACCAGGTGTTATCATTATTTTTATGTGTCAATTTGACTGGGCATAGGGTATCCACATTAAATATGCTTCATCTTTGCGAGGGTGTTGCCAGATGAGATTAGCATTTGAGTACAAGGATTTAATAGATGATCTTGGGATCATCCAATCACTGTTTTGAGTGCCTGAGTAAAACAAGAGGTTGAGAAAGGAAATTGCCCTTTTTTTCCTGCTTCACTGCTGAGATGTAGCATCTCATCTCATCTTCTGCCCTTGGACCAGGTTTGTGGGTTGACCAAAAAGTTCATTTTGTTTTTTCCATAAGATGGCTCTAGTAGCACTTAGTTGCCTTTAACGTCATTTGAAACAATTTTGTTATATTGTGTGACAGCTGTCATATCAGTGTGCATTTTTTAAAAACTTATCCAAATCGGTGAACTTTTGTGTAGCCATTTTAATATTGAAGATGGAAGAAAATGTGCAACATTTGTAGCACATTATGCTTTACTATTTCAAGAAAGGTAATGATGCACTGAAATGCAAAAGAAAAGATTTTGTGCAGTGTATGGAGAAGGTGCTGTGAGTGACCAAACATGTCAAAAGAGGTGTGCAAAGTTTCATGCTGGAGATTTCTCGCTGGATGATGATCCATGGTTGGGTAGACCCATTGAAATTGATAGTGATCAAATCGAGACATTAATTGAGAACAATCAACGTTGTGCCACATGGAAGATAGCCAACACTATCAAAATATCCAAGTCAGTAAAGTTATTGGCGAAAATGAAGAATGTGTCTTTTACAGAAAAAAATAATACAGACTTTTTGGCCAACCCAATATATCATAGGCTCTTGTGGTTTTCAGACCTTTGGACTTGAACTACTTAACACATCCAGCTTTCCTGGGCCTCCAGCTTGCAGATAACAGATCCTAGGACTTCTCAGCTTCCATATCATGTGAGCCAATTCTTACAATCGTTCCACCTCCTTGCAGGCTGAGTTATCTACATAAATTATTTGAAATCTTATGCACAGGAGATTTATCCTTTTTTTATACTTTTTATTTTGAAATAACTTTAGACTTACAGAAAAGTTGCAAAAATATATATAGACAGGATAAAGATACATGTATGTGTCTGGAGAACCCTAATACACCAGACAACAGCCTTATGCAATTGTGCCAGCTGGTTTCAGGATAACACCTCCACGAAAATAAAATTCACCAAGCTAGTAGACATCTGAAGTTCCCAAAGATCTACAACTTTTCAAAGACTTTTGGAATTTTTATTTTGAAATAATTATAAATTCACAGGAGGATGCTAAGGAATATACAAGGAAGTCCAGTGCAATCCTCTCCTGCCTTTCCTTACCCCATGTCTCTATCCCAGATAAACACAGTTCAGTATCAAAGCCAAGAAACTGACATTGGTACAATCCATAGGGCTTATTCAGATTTTTCCAGATATACATGAACTCATGTGTGAGTGTGTATGTGATTGTGTATGCACATAGATCTGTGATGCAATTTTGTCACACATATAGCCTTGTGTAACCACCACCACAATAAACATGCTCAGTTGTACCATCACAAGGAAGATTTCCCTCTTGCAAACAGACCACCCCCCGCCCAATCCCTGGCAACCACTAATGTGTGCTCCATCTCTACAATTTTCTCACTTCAAGAATATTACATAAATGGAACTATGTAACACGTGGCCTTTTAAAAATAAAGCCTATTTTTAGAACCATTTTAGATTTATAAAACATTGTGAAAATAGTACAGAGAGGTCTCATA